AAAGAAAGAGAAAGGAAGGAAGGAAGGAAGGAAGGAAGGAAGGAAGGAAGGAAGGAAGGAAGGAAAGAAATCCTTCCATGCCTCACTTAGCCCTACAAAAGGTTGAGAATTCTTTCCAAACTTTGTCTAATTCACATACTATGATTTCTCAACAAAAAGCCTGTATAAGCAAGGGCTGTGAAGGTAATTTGCAGCCAACTAATCTGCCGGCTTCCAAACCCTTGGGATCTGGCGATACATTTTGGGAACACTGGTGTTTGCACTATCCTCAGAACACCAGGAACCTCCTGATGTTTGGCTGGGAATTGCAAATGTTTCTGGAGGCCCAACTGAATCTTAGAAAGTAGAAAACAGCCTACTCCATGTTACATAATCAGGCCAGAAAAACATGTTTCATATGAGGAAGGCAGCCAGCAAGTTCCCAGACCTCAGACAGAGGTCTGGGCTCTCGGCTTGGCCCCGGTCCTGCTGAAGGCCAGTGGCACCTCATCCTCCATATCTCCTCATCTCTCCAGCAGAGACATGCTGAACTGTCCCTCCATGGCCGGCGTTCCTCTGTGTATTGCACTACGTCTCTCACTGGAAAGAGGGTGAATATCAAAGCCCGAGAAGTATTACGCTTCTCAGAGAGGCTGGAGCGATCAATAAAGTGTTCCTGACACAAACAGGAAATGAAAATGAAGAGATAGCAAGATCCTTAAAAGCTGGCTGGACCCATCCAAAGAGACCACATAGCCAGGCATAATCAAAGAGGAAGTCCCTCCAAAGTCTATCCTGCCTGTCCCTGTTCTCAAGCAATGCCAAGGTTCCCAGATTACCCGCCTTTTTTTTTTTTTGAGTCAGGGTTTTACTCTGTCATCCAGACTGAAGTGAATTGGCCTGATCATGTCTCACTGCAGCCTTGACCTTCTGGGCTCAGGTGATCCTTCCATCTCAGCCTCCAGAATAGCTGGGACTAAAGGGGCACCCCACCACTCCCAACTAATTTTTAAAATTTTTTGTGTGTTGCCTAGGCTGGTCTTGATCTCCCGAGCTCAGGCAATCCTCCTACCTCAGCTTTCCAAAGTGCTGGAATTATGGGTGTGGGATTACAGCCAACCTTCCTTCATATTGTCCCCCAAACCTTTGGGCTTCTCTAAGAAATGCCCCCAGCCCTAGCCAAGCCTCCCCTTGCATAGCTGGTCACCCCTCCCCCAACACTCCTAAGCCCTTACTTCATCACACAGTAACGGGTGAGGGAGGAAATGCTGGGGTGGGTGAGATTGTGCCCTGGTGATGGACGTGGGCTGTGGTGACAGTCAAGATTAGGTTCAGGTTGGGCGCAGTGGCTCTCGTCTGTAATCCCAACAATGGGAGGCCAAGGCAGGAGGATTGCCTGAGTCCAAGAGTTCGAGCCCAGCCTGAGAAACATGGCAAGACCTTATCGCTATAATAAATTAAAAAATTAACCAGGCGTGATGGTGCACGCCTGCAGTCCCAGCTACTCGGGAAGCTGAGGTGGAAGGATCACCTGAGCCTAGGAGGTTGAGGCTGCAGTGAGCCGTGATCGTGCCACTGCACTCCAGCCTGGGAGACAGAGGGATACTACCACTAGAAAAAGAAAAAAAGACTTAGGTTCAAATTCTAGTTCCTCCACTTGACCTTGGGTGAGTTATAGAACCTCATCTGCAAATCAGTTTCCTCATCGTAATGTACAGGCAGGAATAACCCCCCCCACAAGGTGAGATAAAACCAGTATCTACACAACACTCACTTGTGCCCGATGCAAAGTACAGACTCAGTAGGATTTTGTTGGATGGCGGGCGGGTAAGTGACTGAGCCGGTTGCATCCCATGCTGTCTCACAGAACTCTGTGTGTGCCAGGGTCCTCCAGCTGGTTTAGTACTCTGCTGTCGCTGTGTTGAAATCCTTCAGCATTTTTGAATGTGGAGCCTTGCATTTGCATTTGGTGCTGGGCTCTGCAAATTGTGTACCCAGCCCTGCTGAGCACACCTGGGGGTGGCCATGGCACTGTCGGTGTCTCTGCCATCCCACAGAGCAATAAGCCACACCGTGGCATGACCACACATTGTGGCATTTTTGGTCATTTCAGCAATGATACTGCATTTGGAACAGAATCAGCAATGGAAATAGTTTGTACTAATTCCATGCCATTTCATAGCAAGCTTTTAGGTATGTATTTTTTAAAACGCAGCCTTACCATGGGAGAGAAAGCTTTTTCCCACTCCCAGCCTTTTCTTCCTTCCTCATGGAGAGAGTATGATTAGGATGAGTCCTTTCTCCCTTGGACCCTCCTTCCTCCATCAGAGAGAGAGGCGGAGCACTTTTCAACAGTACATTTAGGCTGGGTGGGGTGGTTCATGCCTGTCATCACTTTGGGAGGCTGAGGCAGGAGGTTCACTTGAGGCCAGGAGTTTGAAACCAGTCTGGGCAACATAGCAAGACCCTGTCTCTACACAAAATTTTTTTAAAAATCAGCTGGGCATGGCATCACACCTATAGTCCTAGCTACTTGAGAAGCTGAGGCAGAGGATCACTTGAGCCTAGATGTTCAAGACTGCTATGATTGTGCCACCATACTCCAGCCTAAGGGAGAGAGTGAGATCATTTCTCAAAAAAAAGTAAATTTGGAGACCATGAACTAGGCATGGTCAACTCTGCTCCTCTCTTTCTTCTCTTCCTCAGGAGGAAGAAGAGGTGAGTCCTAGGTGACCAGGTTGGTGAGTCTTTCTAATTCTTGGGTCTGATATGAAGAAACTGAGCCATGCCCTTCAACCAGCCTTGTCAGTGTCAACAGTACTGTTTTGGCTTTCACTTGTTATTCTATCATCTTACTCTTCATTTTGTTCGGTTCTTGGGTAGGAACAGAGTTGCTATTTAATGGATACCCTCAATGACCCCAACAACCACCCGGACCACTGCCATCCATCTTGTGACTTAAGACCATATGTAATTAAAACACCTCACCCAAATCTTCCCTTACTACAAGGAATAGGTACTGGGGAGAGTCTTTGATCCATTGCATCTCCAAGCTGAAAGGCGGCAAGATCATCTACTCTAGATCCCTGATTCAAGAAGGAGAAAATCCAAGAGGCTTAAAGTCTGGGACATTGGCTTTCCAACTTCAGTGTGCACCAGAATCATCTGGAAAGCTTGTTCAAATGGATTTGGTTCTGAGACCCCTCCCAGAGTGTCAGATTCAGCAGACCTGCGGGTGGGGCCCAAGAATGTGTGTGTCCACCAAGTTCCCAGGTACTGCTGATGCTGCTGGTCTGGGAGTCCCACTTTGAGAGCCACTGGCCTGATAGAAAGCAATTTCAACCTGTTATCACAGAGTGGGAACCAGAGCCCAAGTGTCCTGTGCTCTAGCTTGTGGTCCCTAACCTTTTTGGCATCAGGGACTGGTTACATGGAAGATAATTTTTCCACAGTCAGGGAAGTGATCACCAGGCATTAGATTCTCATAAGGAACATGTAGCCTAGATCCCTCACATGTGCAGTTCACAATAGGGTTCGTGCTCCTATGAGAGTCTAATGTCGCCGCTGATCTGACAAGAGCCGGAGCTCCACTCACCAGCCGCTCACCTTCTGCTGTGCGGCCCAGTTCCTAACAGGCCAAGACCGGTATTGGTCTGCTGCTTAGGGTTTGAGGATCCCTGCTCTAACTGATGCCCTCCTCGGCCCATTTTATTGTCAAATAGTTGTACCTTTCTCGGCCCTACTGGGAGTTCCCTTGGCTGCGTTTTTATATCTGTACTCATCACTTGAGCTGAACTCACTCTCTTCTTCAAAATAATGTCTTTAATAAAGAGCCTTGAGTTTCCTAGAAAGAAGCACTTTCACAATACTAAGTCTTTCTGGCACTAACACATATTATAGGAAACATGAAGGCTGGGTGTGGTGACTCAAGCATAGAATCCCAGCACTTTGGGAGGCCAAGATGGCAGGATCACTTGAGCCCAGGAGTTCAAGACCAGCCTAGGCAACATAGTGAGACCTTGTCTCTACATAAAATAAAACAATTAGCCAGGTATGGCAGCACATGCCTCTAGTCCCAGCTACATGAGAGGCTGAACCCAGGAAAATGAGGCTGTGGTGGGCCGTGATCGTGCCACTGCGCTGCAGCCAGGATGACAAAGACCCTGATTCAAAAAAAAAAAAAACAAACAAACACACTAAACAAAGCAAAAAAAAAAAAAAGAAACATAAAAAGAGAAAGTGTTTTATGAAGCAAAATAAATACAATTAATAATAAACCTAAAGCAAATGCAATCAGGACAAAAACCAAGAACCCAAAAAGTTGATCTATGTTTTTTTTAATCCGTTTGTGGATCATCTACATCTATGTTTATTTTGCTAAAAGCAAATAAGAAAACTGCTTGTACTTACCCAAAGTATTGGTAGCAAAATTTTTTTCAAGTCCATCTTCTGTGAGCTCTCTTTTATTCACCATACAACCTACATTATTGATCTTGAAATTACAGTTCCCATTTCAAAACAGAGAAAAACAAGGTCAGAGGCACTTTTCCAAAGCCCAGTCCTCCACCACCCCACGCCCAGGTCTTTCCCAACATTCAAGTGACAGCAATTCTATTCACTGACACTTCACTCCAGATTCCTCACAGGAAAACACCTCTTGTACAGAGGACCCAGCCATAGAACTGTGCAAAGACCTCCAAGTGAGAGGGCTTGGCCAGGCAACCTAGTTCACAAGAGAGTGCTCTGGAAATTCATCTAGACCAACAGAAACACCTAACTTTAAGTAGTAACCACATTAAAAAGGTTAAAGAAACAGGCTGGGTGCGGTAGCTCACGCCTACAATCCCAGCATTTTGGGAGGCCAAGGCAGGAGGATTGCTTAGCCCAGGCATTTGAGACCAGCCTAGGCAACATGGCAAAACATCATCTCCACAAAAAATAAGAAAAAAAAAAATAGCCAGGCATGGTGGTGCACACCTGTATTTCCAGTTACTCAGGAGGCTGAAGCGGGAGGATTTGAGCCCAGGAGGTTGAGACTTCAGTGATCCATGATTGTGCCACACTGCCTGAGCAACAGAGTAGGACCCTGACTCAAAAAACAAAAAAGTAACAAGAAAATTGTTACAACAAGTAAAATTCATTTGAATATTTTATTTAGAAAAAATATATAAAAGATAGTGACATTTCAACATGCAATCGATATAAAGATATTAATGAGATAGCATACCTATTTTTTCTAAGTCTTTGACATCTGCCAATTTTGACACTTATTGCACCTCTCAGTTTCAAATGCCTCATAGCCACACTGGACAGCACAATTCCAGACTCTGGCCCAAGTGACATTGTAGAGCAGCACTCCCCAACCTTTTTGGCATCAAGGACTGGTTTTGTGGAAGACAATTTTTCTACAAACAGAGGGCGGGGGTGGCGAGGGAGGATAGCACTGGGCACTCCACTCGATTCTCATAAGGAGCGCACAACCCAGATCCCTCGCGTGTGTAGTTCACAATAGGGTTTGCGCTCCTATGAGAATCTAACGCTGCTGCTGATCTGCAGGAGGCGGAGCTCCACTCACCCACTGCTCACCTCCTGCAGTGCCACCCGGTTCCTAACAGGCCATAGACTGGTACTGGTCTGCAGCCCAAGGCTTGGGGACCCCTGGGTAGAGCACATCAGAAACTATGTGGACAGAAAAGCAACTTTGAAACTATATGGACAGAAAAGCAACCTCTTCACAGCAGACTACCTGGGAAGAGCCAATCGGACACCTTTCCACTCAAATCCTTTGAGGGTCTCCGTGGAGTTTCAGGCTGATGATGTTACTAAAAGAGTCACTTGTCTGCAGCAGGGTTTGTTGTTGTTGTTGTTTATTTTTGTTTTTTTTGAATCAGGGTCTCACTCTGTTGCCTAGGCTGGGGTGCAGTGGTATGATCACAGCTCACCACAGCTTCAACCTCCTGGGCTCAGGCAACAATAGCACCTTAGCCTCCCAGGCAGCTGGGACTACATGCTCAGCTAATCTTTTATTTTTTGTAGAGACAAGGTCTTGCTATGTTGCCTAGGCTGGTCTTGAACTCCTAGGCTCAAGTGATCCTGTTGCTTCAGCCTCCCAGAAGGCTGGGATTACAGATGCGAGCCGCTGCACCCAGCCTGCAGCAGGTATTCCTTGGACTAAGCTTTTTATCTTTCCCTGTGCCTCTAATTTCAATATACCAATGCCCAAATCTACAGAATTCAGGAATATTGACACACAAATCATCACTTTGTAAAAAATAAAACATATTCATCCTCCCACAATACCTGCCCTGTGGATGGGCCCTTCCTTTCCCCATAAACATTACCAATAATGGGTCTCCTTTTGAATCCAATGAGTAAATATGATTACACAAACAGGCCCAACCAGAAAAGATTCTTACTAAGACTCTTACATAAAGACTCTCAAAGACACACATATCCGCCCACATCCATACAGAGGGAGAATGTACAAACATGAGTGTTTTATCCTCTACTTATGTTTATAAAGCTCACCAGAACATTGAGTTTATGTTCTTGCTTGAAATTGTCAACAAATTTCCAGATTTTCTTGGGATCAGACAAGTCCACAATTTGTAGAAAGATGTTCTAAACCAGAAAGTAAAAGATGTTATAACACTTTTTTAAAAAGATAAAAACTAGCTTTTTCTTTTTTCTTTTTGAGTTGGAATCTCACTCAGTCACCCAGACTGGAGTGTAGTGGCTGCTCCCGGCCACCGCAGCCTCAACCTGCTGGGCTCGGCGATCCTTCCGCCTCAACCTTCCAAGTAGCTGGAACTACAGGCGTGCGCTACCACGCCCGGCTAATTTTTTTGATTTATTATAGAGATAAGGTCTCGCCAAGTTGCCCAGGTGGGTCTCGAACGCGCGGGCTCAGGCAATTCACTCGCCTTGGCCTCCCAAAGCACAGGATTACAGGCTGAACCACTGAGCCTGGCTAGCATTTTCTTAAATTGAAAAATACATGTACACGATTTTAAAAAATCAAATACTTTGGAATGATATAAAATGAAAAACAGTCCCACTCCTCAGAAATAAACCATTGTTCACAGTGTCCTGTGAATCATCCAGGAATATTTTAAGTATATATGCCATATACATATATACAGGTATGTGTGTGTGTGTGTGTGTATATATATATATATGTAATACATGTATACCTAAATACACAATATATATACATCTTTTAAGATATATATGTGTGTATATATATGCATATATATGTACATATATATATATATCCATTTTTCCACAAGTAGGACCAGAATAAACATTGTTCTACACTTGTCTTTTTCACTTAATAATATACGAGAGGGGACCCCAAAAAACAGAATTGTTTTTTGGAAGACGGGCCCTTTGTGGTACAGACGTCTCCTGCTAAGTAAGTGTCCTAGGAACCCATCAGCATCAGAGTACCAGCTGATGTTGTTGTGAGAGGTTATGTTTGGCTTCAGTGCATTTTTTTTTGGTGGAGATTCTTTCAACATATTTGCTCATTTCATGAAGGATGATTTACAAGTGTACCTGCCCACACCACACTGAGTGTTCAGCAGTTTTTGACCAAAACTGGCATGACCCTTGTGCCACACCCTCCTATTCACCCGACATCCCCCTCTCGCAAAATTTTTTTTTTGGTTCCTCCAGATGAAAAAAGCTCTCAAAGGGAAATGTTTTGCTAATGTGGAAGAGGTGAAACAAAAAATGGCAGAAGTACTAAAAGACATCAAAATCAATGAGTTCAAAAACTGTTTTGAGCGGCCGGAAAAGTGTCTCAATAGGTATATTGCATCAAACGGAGAGCACTTCAAAGATGACTGAAGTTTAAACATGTAAGAATAAATACACAACTTTTTATAAACAAATTCCTGTTTTGGGGGGGTCTCCTCTTCTACTTGTTACTTTATTGTAGTAAGAACACTTAAAATTTTTTTTATTTTTTTGTGATGAGAAAATTTAACATGAGATCTATCCTCAACAAAATTTTCAGTGTATGATACATTATGCTGACTATAAGTGCAATGTTGTGCCTATACATATACATGTACATATAGCTGGCATAGAGATTATTCTTCATCTTGTCAAACTGAAGTTTTATTGGTGATTAGTAACTCACCATTTACCTGCGACCACCATTCCACTCTTTGATCTTATAAATTTGACCAGATTCTTCATACAATATTTGTCTTTCTGTGCCTGACCTATTTCTCTTAGCATAATGATCTCCAGGTTCACTCATCTTGTTGCAAATGGCAGGATTTCCCTCTTTTTAAAGACTGAGTAATATTCTAGTCTATATATACATATATATGTGTGTGTGTGTGTGTGTGTGTGTGTGTGTGTATGTCACATTTTCTTTAATCATGCATCTGTTGATAGACATTGAGATTGTTTCTACATCTTGGCTATTGTGAATGATGCTGCTAATGAGAGTGCTAATGCCTCTTTAGGGTCCCAATTTCAGTTCTTTTGGATAAATACCCAGAAGTGGGATTGCTGGATCATAGGGTAGTTTTCTTTTTCTTTTTTGAGTTGGAGTCTCACTCTGTCACCCAGGCTGGAGTGCTGTGGCACATTCATGTCAACTCCAGCGTCAATCTGCTGGGCTCCGGAGATCCTTCCACCTCAGCCTTCCAAGTAGCTGGAACTACAGGCATGTGCTAAACTACACCCAGTTAATTTTTTTTATTTATTGTAGAGATGAAGTCTTGCCAAGTTGCCTGGGCTGGTCAAACAATCCACTTACCTTGGCCTCCCAAAGTGCAAGGATTACAGGCTGAGCCACTAAGCTCGGCCTTATTTTTCATTTTTTGAGGTTCCTCCATGCTGCTCTCCAAAATACTGGATGCACCATTTTGCATTCCCGCAAACAGTGTGAAAGGGTTTCAGCTTCTCCACAACCTTGCCAACACTTGTCTTCTGGGTTTTTGTTGTTGGTTTGATAATAGCAATCCTGAGAGGTGTGAGGAGATATTTCATTTGCATTTTCCTGATTTGCATTTTCCTGATGACTAGTGATGGTGAGCACCTTTTCATGTACACATTGGCCATTTGTATATCTTCTTTGGGTAAATGTCTATTCAAGTCCTTAGACCATTTTTTAAATTGGGTTTTAATTTCTTTTTTCTTTTTTTCTGGAGACAGGAGGTTTTATTGATGCTGATGGGGGTAGGAAAGGCCTCCAGGAGCACAGGGGCTGAGTCAGTCAGCGGATGCATAAGGCCTGGGCACATGGAAGCAGGTTAGGGCACATTCATCTTCTCAGGATTCTGTGGCTCCTTCCTGGAGGAAGGGAGAGAGCATCTTAGGGGTGCAATTCCAAGAGCAGCAGGGGCAGAGGTTAGAGACGGCTGAGAACCTCTAACTAGAGCAGAGGCACCACAATAGGCAGCAACTGTGGAAAGCTGGATGAACTGGTCAGTAGCAGAAAATAGGGAGGGAGTACTGGATTGGTCTCTTAGGGAAGGATCCATCCTTAACTTGGGTGAGCCCATGAGAATATCTGGTATTCCCAAGCAGAGTGGAGCAGGACCCAAAGCCCCTTTCTCTGCAGGCCTCTTTATGAAGAAAAAGGTACTCGGAGAAAAAGGCATTCAGGGAACCCCTTGGAAAGGGGTGCCAGAATTAGTCCTTAGGGCACAGCTGGGGTAGACAAGGCGCCAAGGCACAACTGGTAGGGGAAGGCCAGGGGCAGCCTCCAAGCTGAGTACCAGGGTCACAAGAGGATGCAGGACCACCCACGCTTGATGGGCGTGGGGTTGAGCACAGCCCAGACAGCCTCAGCGAACACTTCCTTGACACCATCCTGCTGCAGGGCTGAGCATTCGAGGTAGCGCACAGCGCGGATCTGCCTGGCCAGTGCCTGGCCCTGCTGCGGTGTGATGGGCGCCTGGCCCTGCTCCTTGAGGCGTCATAGGGTGTCAGGCTGGGCTCTCGGGTCGGAGGATGGGCACGTGGGGGCAGTGGTGGCACACCTCTGGATGCCATTTGTGCCGCACGTTCTCTTAGGAGGGCGGACTGGCAATGAAGAAACAGATGACAAAGACGTTGGTCTGAGGGTGGGAGAGTGTGCAGAGGCGATCATACTCCTCCTGGCCCGCAGTATCGCAAAGGTCCAGGTTCACTGTGCACCCGTCAACTGCACTCTGGGCACGATAATTGTTGAACACCGTGGGGATGTACACCTTGGGAAAAGCGTTGGTTGTACAGCAGATGAGCAGGCATGTCTTGCCCACAGCCCTGTCACCCACCACCACACACTTGATGCTCTGCATGTGGGTGTAGTTGCTGAAGCGGAGGTAGTGCCTCTCCCTAGCTGGGACCCTCTGAATGCAGTGACCTGGTGCCCTCCCTGCGGCAGGGGAGCTGGGGGCGGCGGCCATTTAATTTCTCTACCATTGAGTTGTATGACTTACAATAGGTCTTGGAAATGATTTTATTATATATAAATCTACCCTATTCCTTTTCATGGCAACATAACATACCTTTGCAGGGTTATGTCACAGTTTCCTGCTGCCAAAATTTAGTTTTTTGGTCAACATTTTGCTCTTGGCTGGGCTCAGTGAGTGGCTCAGCCTGTAATCCCAGCAGTTTGGGAGGCTGAGGTGGGTGGATTGCCTGAGTCCATAGGTTCGAGACCAGTCCGGGCAACTTGGCAAGACCTCATCTCTACAATAAATAAAAAATTAGCTGGGTGTGGTAGCACATGCCTGTAGTTCCGGCTACTTAGAGGGTTGAGGCAGAAGGATCACTAGAGCCCAGCAGGTCAACATTGGGGTGGCAGTGAGTGTGCCACTGCACGCATTCCGGCCTGGGCAATGGAATGAGACTTCAACTCAAAAAGAAAAAGTATATATATAAAATTTTCTCACTCACTGTGGGACACAGGCTTAGAGAATGAGAAAACAGAAGCAACTCTACATTTTCCTGACTCAGAAAGTCTGCAGTCAGCTTGAATACCATATTCAGCCTGAGCCTGGCACAACTGAATATCCTTATGCCTTCAAAGGATAGTAAAAGTACTGGCTGTACAGGACCAGGCTCTTTAAAAATGTGTGTGAAGGCCTTCAGTCAGCCAGAGCAGACAAGGCTGCTGACTCAGACCTGAGTCTGCTGTGAGCCTGTCCCAGTGACTGCAAGCTGAGTCTAGACATCTAATCCTTTTATCCTAGACGACTTCTCCCCATCATCCTAAGACTCCCTCCGACCCAACAGGGTTGTGTAACATGTATACAAAATTCAGGTTAAAAAAAACAACCAAATTCAGGTGATCTAAAGCCAATTCTGCTTTAAACATTCCATTAGCTACTTGAGCTTTCTGGAGTCATCCAAGATGTCTCAGAGTGAAAAGGAAGCAGCAGCAGGGAAGAGAGAATCCCTGTCTTAGACAACTCAGCCGTGAAATGAAGCATCATGAAAAGACAAAGGAGGCTGGGCTTGGTGGCTCAGCCTGTAATCCTAGCACTTTGGGAGGCCGAGGCAAGTGGATTGCCTGAGCCCGCGGGTACAAGACCAGCCTGGGCAACTTGGCGAGACCTTGTCTCTACAATAAATCAAAAATTAGCCAGGCATGGTAGCATGCACCTATAGTT